AAAAAAAAAAAAAAAAAAAAGTTTTTCCAGCCTGTGCTGGCTAATTCTTCTAGAGCTGCTATCTTGCAAGGAAAAGGAGGACTTCTGAAATTCAGTCTGTCTGCTCTCCTCCTTGCTCCAAAGGGATGGGCCTTTTTGCCTTAAGATTTCAGAACTGGAGGAACATGCCTGCACCCAGCATTGTTTATGAGAGGTGTAGGGTTCACTCAGTCTTATTCCATTCTCCTGTCTGACCATGGCTGGGCTCAGGTGATCTTCCCGCCTCCGCCTCCCGAGTAGCTGAGACTGCAGGTGTGTGCCTCCACACCTAGCTTGTTTTATCAAACGTGTTTTGGCCCCAGCAGCACCTCAGGCCAGGTCATCGGGGAGCACCTGGGGTGACTTCATGTTCTTGCACCACACTGTCACTGAGAGCCCACTGCCTGATCCCTATTTTGTAGGTAGAGTCCAGCTGACCACGTCACCTTGTCCTTGCCCATCCTGGCCCAGCTGCCTCTCGCTTGCCTTCCTGCTTGCAAATACGGCTTGGCATTTCAAACAAGTCACATGCTCTCTGCAGTCAGGGAGGTGTCACCATGTCAGTCCTCCCCCAGCTCATTTGAGGTGGAGGATTCACAGAAATGCAAAAGAACGGCCTTTTCTCAAGTCCTGTGCTGTCTGTTGGGGTAGTAGGGGCAGGTGCCTGTGTGGACACAGCAGCAGACCCTTCGCCGCACCCTTGGGAACTCAGGTTTCTACTGAGGGTATGAGGAAGCACTTGGAGCATGGAACACGGCTGTGCTGGAAAGCACTCAGCGGTGTTAGTGACAGTGATTTTAAGGGTGGGCTCAGTGCCTCAGATGGTATGAAGAGGATGGATAAAAAGTATGGGTGTGTCAGGTTATGGGGGACCAGGCCAGTGGGGCGGCAAGCAAAGGCAAGGCAGGAGTGGGTCCCCACGGCCTCTACTGAGAGACCTTGGCTTGCTCGGGCCTTTATCTGCTCTCCCTCTTGTCCATGTACTCACCTGTCTCACCAGCCAGACTGCGAGCTCCAGGGCGGGGGCTATGGCTTGTTCAGCATGTGTCCCTCATACCTTTTTAGGGCCTTGTTCTAGTAAGTCCTCAGCAAACATAAGTCCTGGTGACAGTTATTTAAAATAGCTTTTGGTGACTCTCACCGCCTCCTTCCTCCCTATGGTGCGTCCCCTTCAACTTGTCCATGATGTTAAAAAGAGATGGCTGGATGCAGAGGATGGTGGCAGCTGTGCTCTGATTTCCACTCATGCGTGTCTCGGAGTCCAGGACGGGGCCCGTGAGGCAGGTGGTTGTTTTGAGTAGATTCCTTCCTCGCAAGAAGGGAAATGAGAGGGTTTATGATTGTGCAGGTCTCTGTCAATGGGTGGTTGTGAGAGAGACAGAGAGAGAGTGTGTGTGTGTGTGTGTCAGGGGAGCAAGGCTGTCCCACAGGAGTGTGTACAGTGTTTATCCAGCCACCCAGATCAGATCAGAATGAGAACCTGGAGGGTGCCCATGCCTAGAGGGATTTGCCCAAGCTCAGCCTCTCTCTCTTTTCCTCCTCCTTTTTGTAGCAGTCCAAGGTTGTGCTCTTGGAAGACCTGGCTTCCCAGGTGGGCCTACGTACTCAGGTAAGCCCTGGAACGTGCCCTGCTGTGTGCAGTGTGGCCAGGGGTCTGTGTGGCTAGCAGAGAGACCCCTGCCCTGACAGAGTCTTAATGCACCCTCTACCCTGTCCCCAACCAAGAGTGAGTAGTGCACAGAAGTCTCCTGGCACCCTAGGAATCCTGCATTTTTAATGGATGGAAAAACAGGCAGGAAAGAAAAAAAAAATCCAAACCCCATCACTCTGCCAGCCCCTGTGACCAAAGCAGCCCAAATCAGTTACCTTGACAACTCTCTTGCACAGACTGCACCAGCCTATGTTGCAAGCATCACCACTGCCCTGCTTCTAACAGGAGAGATCCTCTTTTGGGGGCTTGCAGGGCCCAAGACCAGAGCCCCTTCTACCCAGGGCCCTTCCAAAGGCGAAGCACAGAGTCACATTTAGGGGCTGGCATGAGAGGGAAATAAAGAGATTTGACTGTAGTGGGAGGGAGGTTTCAGTGCTTTTTCTGGGGACATTGATGTCTGTCTCTACTCTGAGAATTGTTCTCCTCATAGGACACCATAAATCGCATCCAGGACCTGCTGGCTGAGGGGACTATAACAGGTGAGAGGATAAGAGCCAATCACTGCAGTCCTGGCTTTGGAGAGTGTCTAGCCACAGGGGCTGCAGGGATGTGCTGCAGAGGCAGGATGACCACCCAAGATCGGGGGAGGGGTGTGCAACAAGGGGCACTGAGTAGTTGGATGCAGTTACAAGGAGGACGTGCCAGGGCCTGGAGATGGTGGCAGTGGGAGAGGACAGACAGGGCAGCCTGATTCGACTCTCCTAGCAGGACTGGATGCAGCCGGGAAAGGCCAGGCAGGCAGGAGGCCTGAAGGGCCCTGAGCCAGCTGTGAAGAAGAAAGTGGGCATTCTCAGGCCAGATGGGGAATGCCCAGGAGGCCTCAGCCCCACAACCTGCATATCCCCACAGGTGTGATTGACGACCGGGGCAAGTTCATCTACATAACCCCAGAGGAATTGGCCGCCGTGGCCAACTTCATCCGACAGCGGGGCCGGGTGTCCATCGCCGAGCTTGCCCAAGCCAGCAACTCCCTCATCGCCTGGGGCCGGGAGCCCCCTGCCCAAGCCCCAGCCTGACCCCAGTCCTTCCCTCGGACTCAGAGTTGATGTGGCCTACCTGGCTGTACATCTTCATCCCTTCCCACCATCCTGGGGAAGTGACAGAGTGTGGCCAGGCAGTTATAGATTAAAGGCCTGTGAGTACTGCTGAGCTTGGTGTGGCTTGGTGTGGCAGAAGGCTTGGCCTGGGATCCTAGATGAGCACGTGAAATTTAGGCCTCAGAATGTATCTGAGAGGTGGGGAGGGTCCCTTGGAAGCTGGTGAAGTCCTATTCTTATTATGAATCCATTCATTCAAGAAAATAGCATGTTGCACATTTACTCTGTTCCTTTGTGCCCTGGAAGCCCTGCCCCCAAGACCTAGATAAGGTCTTTCTCTTCTTCTGCCCCCACTCAAATTAGAAGTGGGGAACCTCTTGGGCCACATCTCTGTTAACTGGGAAAGGGAGGTCTTATGGGTATTTTTTAACAGATTAGGAGCCCTAAGTAGGGCTGAGAGCCAGTGGGGAGAAGAATTAATGAGAAGCATCAAGGATAGAGTCCTAGGGAGCATCAGCCTTTAAGAGGCAGCGTGGGGGGTCAGTGAAGGAGAGAGCCATTTGCAGGGCAGGTAGAAGGAAGGAGAGGACCTGCTTGAGCTGGCTATAATTGTGCAGCAGAGGGACACTGCTCATATGGGAAATCACATGAATTCAACTCTACATCCTTGACAAAAAGTTTAAATGGTGTGGGTGATTCCACCCACTGGTGGATGTGAGAACCATATGCTCAGGAGTGGGTGGGATGGGAGGGAGGTGTGTACCTCCTGGAGGGTCGGTCACTCTGGTTCCTGTGGGCTGTTCATGGCATGAGCATCCTGCTGTGCTGAGGGTGAGGCACATGTTTAAATGTGTATTTATGCAAAGTGATCCCTAACATAAGCCCCCTACTTCCTCTGGTGCCTGGTGGAGGAGGCAGCTTGCTGTTCTGGCCCAGGAGGAAACTCTCCCTGGATGGCGATGGGGAAACAGTACGTCAGGTTCCAGGGAAGAGCCTTCCTTAGGAGTTGCCAAGGGTGTTTTTGACTCACTGGGTGCCATAAGTGTTGACTGTAGAACCTAAATTCCAAGAAAGGTATGACTCTGCTACTTCTATCAGCAACGGGTACTTGTCATCACCTGGAGCGTGAAGGGCCACATGCATTGTTTGGAAGGCCATCTGGAGCCTACATTCTAGTAGGAGAGGAAAGAAACAGATGTAGCCAACCACAGTATGAGATGGAAACATAAAATTACAAAGGGAAAAAAAGAAGAGATGACTTACAGTTAGATCACTGGTCCTTAGCCTGGTTGCTCATTGGATTCACCTAGGGAGTTTTTAGTAGTCTCATGCCAGCCCTGTTGCACCCAGGACCAGTTAAATCAGACTCTCCGAGGGCGCAGTCAGGGAGCATCAGTAGGAGATTCCAATGTGCTGCCAAAGTTGAGAGCTAGGGAACAGATGGGGGTGGGGTGGAGAGGCAGGCCAACAAGTTG